GTGGCGACCACGATGACGAAAAATGCCAACGACGACCTTGTGCCGCGTAGCCCTCTTTGTCTGAGTGTGCGTGTGTGTATGTGTAAGATCATCTCAGCGCTTTCCCAGCCATCCATTTCCACCCTCTCCTGCCCATTTGGTCTTCCTGTTGTGGGGGATGGCCAGTGTCCAGTGGCGGCGGCGTCGGCGTCGGCCGTGTATGTTGACTTGGCACGGCCATAGGCAATTGTTCGGCCGAGGGAAGGGAGAAGCCCTGCCCACTCGGCGCTTTGCACGTTTTTTGACGCTGCTGCCCCCCCCCCATCCCAGCTCACAGCTCTCATGCGAACTGTTGTCTGCTCGCTTATGAAGCGCTACTGCAAATCTGCACCCGAGATAGATAGCGTGCTGAGCTGCTGTATTCGGCGCGTACCAATTACCCGCTTCCTAATTACGTACGGCCTCAGTGCCGCAATCAACAACACCCAACCCTGTCGCAGCTTTTGACCCTTTCCCGTCAGCCTCCCCCTTCTCTTTGCATGACTGACTACATCCGGCCTGGTTTAACCTCCGTCTCATATTCTCCACGGCCTCTAGGCATGGTTACCAATTATGCAGATAATGCGCCAACTGCATCGTATTCATTACGGTGGCTAAGAGTCGACCCTTTCCACAAAGTTGCAGCTTCAGCTCCAAAGAGCTCCAGATATGAAGGCTGGGTTTGGGTGAGTTGCTGCCCAGCTATCGTAGAATCCCCGCAATCACGATAAGCTGCACACAAGTCTGCAGCAGCAGTGAAGCGCTTATCTAATTCGACCGCCGGCTCGTTTGGCGCAAGATTTAGCGCGTGTTCCCGTGGGGCTTTGCGCTCGAGCAGTAGCAGGCGTGACAGGTCGATGTGCCGAGGAGACAGACCTGATGCTGTCAGCCTGCCTACCCGTTTCCATATCTGCATTTGCACCTCAATGGAGCGCCGGCCTTTTTTGCAGGACCCCGTCTGATCTGGGCGCTTGATCTACTGGCGCGCGATCGCGGACGGTCGCGGCGGTGCCGTCGCTGCGGCAGTTGGCGGGCGGCGGCGGCGGCTGGCGGCTTCAGCCCCCATTCGAATGCCCCTCACCTCCGGCCGCGACATGACAATTCCCATATTGTTTGCAGCTCGAAGCAGCGATCTTCTTCTTCTTCCTCTTCAGAGTGTGGTGTTTCTGTCTGCCTGAGAGAAACCTCGCCTGGCCGCCACTCGGCGCTCTCCACTGAACGTGTGTTATTTTTGCGTTTTCTAGCGAGTTTGAAGAGCGGAGAGCGAGTCAAGTAAGGCGGTCTGCTATCGATTGCCGCACGCCTTGCGTCTGCGCTGTTTGTGCTGATCTCGCAGTTTTTCGCGATCCCAGGTCCTGCCTTCTGCACTGTGCATTGATGATGGTCGTCGTCGTCGTCGTCGTCGTTGTCGATTCCGCGCCATCTCATCTCATCCCCTTTTTCGGCCCGGACTCCTGACTCTATTGGCTGCTCGCTGCGCGCGATTTTTTATATGTTTGTTTGTCGCGCTTATCTAATACGTTATCAGTCGGTCGCCATATGTCCGTCTGAACATCTAAAGCGCCAATCTTTGTGTTTTTATTTGTATAGTGTTGTTTTGAAATGTCGTTAATGTGTGCTTGTCGTTTTCCAGAATGAAGGAAGAGTCAACCGGGTGCCAAGGCCAGCTACCGGGAGCATGGTTCTATGAGATGGGCGACGATGCATCCGCTTCGCCCACTTACGATCTCGATGAAATGGCGCCATTTCGAGGAATTCTCGGCTCGAGGAACTGCTCGGAGAGTGTCGAAGTGCCGAGCAGTGAGCATGTGGCCGAAATTGTTGGCAGACAAGGTTCGTTCGTGTTCTTTTTTCTTTGCTCTCTGCTATCGCCTTATCCATCGTATCGCTGAGAATGGCTGTCCTGTCTGGACGTTTGTCTCTCTTTTGTGCTTTCTTCTCCCATATTAGCCTATTTTTGTTGGTGACGAATCGATTTTCTCATTGAACGGTGGTGATATGGGTGGCTGGCTGGTCGCCGTTCAGACCAGTAGCTTAGTTTCGCGGGCAATTTCGTTGTGAGATGTTTACCGTTGTTGACGACGAACGGGGAATGAGGTTGACCGGCCAGTAAAGCTCGTCGTTTCGTTCCTCAACGACCCATGACAATCACACTAGCTCTCCGAAAACCCTTCTTCTCAGTATAACTGTCACACAAGGTTCTCTTATGAAAATATCCGTAAACATAGTTTGATCTACTTTTGTATGGCTACGGTAGTCGCGCGATGGTGTGTTGTGAGCGGCAATTACCTCGATTCGCTGCGTTGACGAGCTTTGGTCGTCCGCAAGTTGCTCTCCGTCCCTGTCCGCCTGTCTCTGTCGTCTGTGTCTCTGGCGTTCGCATGGCGCCCACACGCTATTTCCTCGCGCACTCTATTCACCTTCCATAACACCATGTTGGAATAGCAATTCTAGCAGTGAATTTGATAGAGGGGTCAAAGACTTCGAGGCATTTCACGAATCCTCGAGTGAAATTGTTGTCATTCATCGTGGTCGTTTTTGAAGAGTAGAGCAGCATATAATTCCACCGAATAGCATGGCTATACGGTGGGAATTCCCGGAATTGAGTGCAAAATTGCTGCAATATTTGCAGCCTTGCAGGCTGTACAATGGGAGCAGTGGGGGTGTGGTTATAAAAAATGTAGAGGGGGTAGTTATAGAAATCGAATTACATCTAAGCAGATGTGAAGATGTCACCGAAGATCTCCCTCAAAAACGTCTGTTCCGCCTTGAGTGGAGCCTTCACGCAATTTTTGGCGAGAACACAGTTTTGAGTATTTGAAATGTTCGGTTTTCTTTTGCTTTAAAAAAAGCCGAGAAAATCCTGTAAGGATAGACTAGTACTCTTCATTTTCCTTTTTTGAACTTGCTATTTGGATATTACACCTGGCATAGGTGACATAGTATACGATTCTTTTTGTTCTAAATTGGTGTAAGCGGTTGGTGTGGTTCAATTGAATGTTTGCATATTCCTTTGTGCCAACCTCTTTTGAAGTAACTTGGAGTTGTTTGCCATTTCAACAAATTTTACAGTTATTGGATGAACTGAATACTGGCTGGTGTACTATTTGCCTTGCGAAATTCTCCTTTTTGCATGGTTACCCAAACATGTGTGAAGAAATTCTGGCAGCATTGTTGCTGCAGAAGCTGCAAACCCAAAACGACTGATCCCAAAATGTTGTGTATCCATGGCTGCCATTTTGTAGCTTTTTGACTTCTGATGGAGTCGTGACGTCAGTCGATCATTGTGTCCGTTGTGGTGTTAAAAATGTATCGGACAAGGCAAGACACGGCGCGTGCGTGTCGAGAGCAGTTTGTCGTCTCCCAGAACTTGGTGTTTATGAGAAGAGGGGATCGAAAGAGCGTGCGGGACCGAATGTCTCGTATGACATTAGGAATAAATATTTACGCGGACAGATGGTGAGAAATAGTATTTGCGATGTAGATGAGGCCGACGAGGCAAGGGATTACGCGCTGAGTGACCAGCCGTTGACCATATCGATTGAGCATGAGGCAGCCAGTCATGCATGAGTTGCTGCTGCTGCTGCTGCTGGTGCAGCTAGCTACCTGGCCACCAAGCACTTCCTGCTTGTCTCTGCCAGGCGAAGCCGGTTGTCATCGTAGTGTGGACGTGAAATACGACGGCACGATATCGCTGTTGTTACACGTGCTGAGACACCGGCTGAATCATGCCCGATTGTGAAGTTGAATAGACTGGGCTGGACGATGCATCCTTTTATCGAGTCGTCATATCAAACGCTCAAAGAAAAGTTCACTGGACAAGGCATTGATAGGGTGCAAAGAGATAGGCCTGGGTTCATTTTCTTAGAATGCACTTAGTTGTTCGAAATAATCAGAATACTGTGACTTTTTTCAAAATTTTCTGCAAACGTAATGCGTTGAGTTTCACGTCCGTTCTTTTCAGGATGCAAGATCAAAGCTCTCCGAGCAAAGACTAACACTTACATCAAAACGCCGATTCGTGGCGAGGACCCAGTCTTTGTGGTTACTGGAAAGGCGGAAGACGTGCTTGAAGCGAAAAGGGAAATCGAATGTGCTGCTGAGCACTTCACGCAAATTCGAGCCAGCCGACGTCATTCACATGGTGTGTCATAACTAATGCTATTGATGTACCGTCTCGACATTTTAGCTTTGCCCATATGCGATATTTTTGCTTCAAAGAAAAACTTACAGGGGGAGCACCTGCACCTGGTCATGTCACTTTGTACGTTCGCGTTCCATTGCGAGTGGTAGGACTGGTTGTTGGACCCAAAGGAGCGACGATCAAAAGGATTCAACAAGATACTCACACATATATTATCACGCCGAGCCGTGAAAGGGAACCAATCTTTGAGGTAAGCATTAAATACTCTGATGAGTGATTGCGTCATCATCCACTATCCGTCACAGTTTCTCTGCACCGTAGATAGTGGTGTTCGTGACCTTTACTGCTATACAAAGATGGACACTTCCCGCTATCTTTAATCTATGACATCGGCTAGAGCAACTCTTGTCGCAGAGGTGCTAATTACTTTCCGCGATAATCACAGCGTGTCATTACGCTGTCGACCACATACTCTTCGTTCACCAATGTGTCATGTCCATAAGATTGCTAACGGGATATTCATTACATCTACATATACTGCATGATACAAGGCTATTAATAAACTTCTCATATAGAATGTATAGTCTAGCGTGGTGAATAATAATTCAAGTAAAAGTTCACTTTTCTTTTCCCTAATAGAGCAGAAGCAGGGGGATGGTTGCTTGTGAGACGTTTTCGAGTGCTGCAACTCGAAAGTTTTTCGAATTAATATCATTTTAGTTCATTATTATAACTTCCTCTTATAAAGTCACGCCGCTTCAGGTGACCGGATTACCACAGAACGTTGAGGCAGCCCGTAAAGAGATAGAACAACACATTTACCAAGCGCACCGGAAATATGCCTATGACTGATCCGGAAGCGTCAATCACCCAATACTCGAACATGCAGGTAAAACATCTTGCCTTTTTCAAGATTTGTACACAAGCCTCAAGTTGAGTTGCACCTAATGATGTGTTCTCTTCAGAATAACCTCACACTGGCAGCATCCGCTTCGGCAGCGGCACGATCAGCCTACGGAAGTTTAGCGCAGCCAATGGTTCGTCGTGCACCTGGCAATGAAAATTATCCAGAGTATCCGCGGCCATTGGACAGAAATGGATATAACGGTCTATCTGGATTGGTATGTTACTATCACAAAGTTGAATACCATTTTTCGTTCACAGTTCTTGTTCTTATGTAAGCGTTTTTAGTTGAGAAGTTATCCACAAACTACGAAACAGTCTTCGTATTCTGCTGGAGGCTCTCCACCAGCGGTTTCTCCATCGTTTTTCGGTTCATCGTCCTCCAGTACGACATCGAATGCTTTCCAACCGTGGTCTAATAACCTTTACACGGGACTCGGATTGAATGAAACTTCTGGTGAGTTTCTTTTGTCGCCGGTTTTCACATGCACTTTAGGGGATATTGCAGCCGTTTGAGCGTTTTATTAGAACAGTGCTTTCTATTAAAAGATGTACGTATGAGTATCGTTTCAGATCTGTTCTCTAATCGCTCATCCGTTTTGTCAGGAGCTTCACTTTGGTCTTCTGGCTTTGGCTCGATGTCTTGTGGTCAACAAATTCCCTCCAACCAGCGTGATGAGGGTCTTGGCGACTCGCCTCCTAACAAGTGAGTTAGATATCTTATTATCGTGAAGTTCATCTAAAGCGCTTACATCTTCTATGCTTCGACTGCTTGTATGCAAGATTATCTCCAGATTAACCATCGTTTTTTGCAGC